CGGAAGTAAACAACTATTCGTATCAGCTTTTAAATATTTATGGAACGCCGTTTGTGGAACGATTTGTATCTCGCGACCTAGGTGCGCGCGTGTGCTATACGCGTGAGTTTATCTACTGGCGTTCGTACGATGAACAGCAGAAAATTATGCAGTTTCGAATTTCTATAAACGTGATTTACAATTTTATAATTCAACGACAAGCGACGTGGAGTAAAACTCTCTCTATGGAAGAACCCAGGCTAGACTGGATACGTGACACCGGAAAAATTGCAATAGTAATACGCTTCGAAATTTCACGGAAATTTCTCCAAGGATATTCTCTGAGGATAAGACAACAATCGAATGACACTCTTCATGTCACTGCTGGTTTAATGTTACAAAGGAAAGAAGTTTTATATTACAATTACAAAAGCATCGTCAATAACTATAGATTATCTTTCATGACATACGTCAACAAATCGGAGAAATAAAATCAATACTTTTTAAACAAACGTTGCTCAAATTATTCAGTCTTATTGTGCTATTTTTCTTATTTTTATTAAAAAAATGTAATTCAAAAAATTTTTCATTTTCTTATTACTTTATTTAATTATCTTATAAATTTCTTTAATAACATATTTTGTTTATATTAAAAGCAAATCAATTTGTTCACGAAATATATTTATCATTTTTATGCAATAAATCTTTTTGACGTTTCTTATTCAGAATATTTTCCCTGAAAAACATCAAACATCCTCATCTATTAAGAATTTATATAGTTCCTAAATGGAATAGATATTTTGATTTACAGTCCGACGTTAGACAGCGAAAAAACATTCTTAGTGCTTCATTCATTCGGATAACATAGCCTAATGGAAGATGCGCGTTATCTTTGTTATCTTTCCTTCTCTTGCGCTACATGATATATTCAAAGAAACCTTCCCACATTAAAACACTTTGTGTTGTATAAATATACTTGACGTTTACGTACACGTACTAATTGCGTTTCTGATTAAGGATTAAAGTGGAAACTTCGCGATGCGATTTTCTCAATTTCCCCTCTTCCATTTTCTCCGGAAGAGAACACGCCCGAAGAAAATTGTGTATCGGGTCAACGCGTTTCAAGATTGCCTCGAGGCACCTGGTTACCTTTACGCCGTAAAGGCTCTTTTCGGTCTCGCGCTGTTTGTTATTACCGTTCTTGTTAAAGCAGATTCGCGACACGCATACACGCATACATGCGAGGCGTGCGAGGCGATTAACTTAATAGCGGCGCGATAGTGCGAGCTCGCCCGCTATTTAAAGCACAGCCCCCGGAACACGATCGTATAAATCGTAAGTTTTCAGCCGATAAAATGCACGCGCCGTCCTGCACGATCCCTGCACCCTCCGCCTCTCTCCTTCCCCCTCCCTCCCCCC